ATACACCCAAATTGCATATTAAACACAGGGGACACTTACCGAGGTGACGGGGGCAATGCATCACCGAGGTCTTGATTTCTAAAACATTTTCCACACTTCACATTTTGGGAACTGTTACAAAATTTATTTATTTTTCTCTTTTTTTTTTATGTTGAGTAGACGATGTGAATATAATTTATCATAACCCAGAGGAAAAGATTCTAGACAGATTTGGTTAGGTTAGGATAGTTGTGGTTAGTATAGGATGATTTTGGTTAGGTTAGGATAGTTTTTGTTAGGTTTGGATAGTTTTGGTTAGGTTAGGATAAATTTGGTTAGGTGAGGATAAATTTGGTCAGGTTTAGATAGTTTTGGTTAGGTTAGGATATATTTGGTTATTCCATATTGTCTAAATACTAAATGGTTTCGAAGTCTCTTTCTCAGTACTTAATTTATTACTCTATCTCTGACCCGCTTGTCCCTTCCCTTCCCAGATAGAGTCCCCATCACATCTTCAAATTGTTGCCATAAAAATAAAAATAACAAAAAAGATAATCTCTTAGAATCCAAGTCACAGTTTGATGTCTTTGGAATCATCAGTGAGTCAGTGAGTAATCTTATGAGATATTAAGAACGGATTAATTAAATAACTCTGTAAATATTGATCCTTTGCTTATGTCACTTTTTAACTATTTACAAATCGCCATCTTTTATTCTACTCTCTTTTGAGGTTAAGATAAAAATTGCGTCGAGAATCTGTCTTGACACAAGTTGCCGACGAGTAAATAAAAAGTCGGGGAGGGGCAGACAGCTTCACTCTGACGCACCTCAAAAATTTGCCAACTTTTAAAGCGTTCAACTGTCGATTTGTAAAGAAGAAACAGAACTGAACATTCGAATTGATTTTTTTTTATTCGTTTGTCTTCATTAAAAAAAAATAAAGTGTGTGCTCGATAAGGACTTGATAGTGAGAATATGTCGTACTCGAGGTTCATGATGGAAATAATAGATTCTGATTGGTGAAGAAAGAAAAGGAGAAGGAGAAGAAGAAGAAGAAGAAGAAGGAGTAGGAGAAGGAGGAGTAGGAGAAGGAGACAGTCAATATCGTGGGTAGTCTCACACATGTCCTGATTCACTCCTGATAAGCAAGTCTAGACAGTTTTTTTAACAGACAAATTAAAAAAAAGAACTACGGTTTTATTTCTGATATCCCGTGAAGTAATGAAATATATATTCCTAAAAAAAACTATATCACATCATTCCACCAGACTTCCACCACTGAGGCGTAAGAGACCTGAACACTGGTGGCATACCTACTACTAAAAGAACTCCCATATTATTTTTATTCACCACTGACCCGCTGAATGGTAGGTGGCGCTACAGTCGCCTACGCCACGACTAGGTATACGAGCCTGGCTGGTGGAAGATTAATTTAGTATTTAGAATATCAAGATTAAGGGCCTATGTACTTTTATAAGACAGGGTACATATATATTGAGTAATGATCAACACAAATGCCTTATTAAGATATAAGACGTTAAATACAACAAAATGTATAAAATTAACCCTTTCCATGTAATTCGTAAGATGGGGGAGTTTCATATCTAATGGATTCTATGTATAACGGACTTTCATCTCTATATAGTCCGTTAAATAAAGGTTTTACTGTAAAGGTCTCTTAAGCTAGTGTTGTAGTTCTAGAGAAATGCAGAAAGCATAATAAGGGGAGCGTGAGAAGAGGAACTGAAAGAGAATGGCTGATAGAGAGAGAGAGAGAGATTAAGAAAGAAAGAAAAGAGATGGAGTGAAAAAATGAAAGAGAGAGAAAGAAAGAAAGAAAGAAAGATAAAAATAGAGAAAAAATATAACGGAGGGAAGAATTTAAATACTATATGTCAGAAAGGCTGAAAAATACACAATAAACATAACAGATACGAACACAAGACCGATTTAGATGACATATTAAATAATCTTAAACTCACGAGATAAAAAAAGAAAGGAAGAACGAGATGCGTGTCAATAAACAGAGGAAGAAAAACAAAGGAAAATCCTCCACAGAGTCGAGATGGACGAATCCTTTTGTGTATCAGGCGACGTAAAAAGAATTAAAAGGTCAGATGTTGACTACTCTCTCTGCCAGGGAGTTTAGTGGGCTTGGGAGTGTGGTGGAGGAGTATGTGGCTTGGGGGAGTGTGGCCTGGGAGTGTGGTGTAGGAGTGTGTGGCTTGGGGGAGTGTGGCCTGGGAGAGTGTGGTGTGGGAGAGTGTGGTGTGGGAGAGTGTGGTGTGGGTGAGTGTGGCCTGGCAGTGTGGTGTGGGAATGTGGTGT